TTTCGCTTCAATAATAAGAATGGAAGACGATTCATGAAGGCAAACAACAACTACAACAACTACATATTAGTATATTCTCAACTGACTAGGGTCTCAGACTCAGTTATACGCAGACCTTACCTTTGTAATTATATAAGGAGGTTGTTTTCGTAGCGGCCCAAGGTGCATTGCGTGGTTTGATATATATATATTTTTTAGAAACTTCACTAATAAAAGAAGCACTAGAATTTAATTGAGTCATTTTGATCTAGTCTATAATTAGCACTATGCCAGGAGAATTGTCAATTACTCTTTCAATTTATTAGAAACAAAACCTCCCATTTTTATTTGGTAGTTATTAAGTTTGTTGATACATTATTTATATTTTTATGTGATTTCAAATTATATTTATTATTTTATATGCTGATTTTTATTTTTATGTGATTTTAAATTATATTTACTTCTATTTTTAATAAATGTCGTTTTGAGAAGTTGCACAATTATTAAGAATATTTTTTTGCCAATAGTAACCCTCATTAATGAAGATACAGATGATTGTTTTGAGAAAAGATGAAGAGTGAATATATGAAAATACGTAATGTATTTATTAGCTAGATGAGGGTAATAATGGAACAATATTTACAAAATATCTAAAACGATATTCATTTTATTAATAGTTGATATGCCAAAATGACATTAAAAAATAATAGGAGGTAGTATCTTTTATTTTATATTACATGGTCATTCAATTATTAGTATTATTATAATCGATATTATTAGTTTTAATTCAAAACAAAACAAGTGATGCATGACTTACAACTTACAAGTGATTTTATATTATATTTTCTATTTTATTATTTTATGCTCTATTCATATTTTTGTATTATTATTAACTAAAGAAGTACATTACATAGTGAATTATGTCAAATATATTAAAATTTATATATAGTTTTCAAGTAACAATATTTAAAAGTCATGATAAAAAGATTGCATGAAAAATGTGGTTTACAATCTTCATTATCTAAGTTAATCTTGTTTACTAAAAATCTTTTTAGTTTGGGGAAGATTGAAAAATATACACAATAGAACTAAATTGAAATCTTTTACAAGAATAATTGCAAATGATAATTTTATCTTGTCTTTGTTGAAGATCATTGTTTTCATTCACTTAATAAAACATTGATAACTCATCAATACTTATATAAAAAGAATAATTTTTTTTTTCAAAATTAGTAGGTCAAATTTTGGTCAAAACTTAATTAACATTAATTACATACCATTAATAGTAAGTTTTTTTTTTTCTAAAAAATTGGACTGCCCTTAAATTGTGACATTAAGGCTATGTTTGGTAAACCAAATAAGCTAGCTGGTTAGCTTATGTTGGGTTCGATATACCCGTACGGAACAAATAATGCAGCGGAATTTAAAAATTTTATAAGTATTTATCTCATAAATACTTATTCCGTACATAAGTATAACGATAGAACGAATAAGCATCATTTACAATCTAGTAACTTTTACTAATTTTGATTTGAAATATAATTTTA